TCAGCATTCTGAAATGCATATCCTGCATTCTCTAGCTGGCATGGCTATCTCCATCCCTTCTTGCTGCTCTTAGGATATATTGTATGTGGAGAAACAGAGATCAAGAATTTCCTGCTGGGGTAAAACTGATACATAAAATCCAACAATGAAAATGACATTTACTGTGATAGAACAAAGTGAATAGTGCCGGAAAACATTTGATGGGAAGTGGAAAAGTTATTGATCAGCGTTAAAAGGTTAGCTTGGTCTGCACAACTCCTCTTTTTTCTTTTGACACCTACTGAAAAATTTAATTTGCCAAACGCTGCCCTAGAGGTTGTATTTTCCCCTGATTTCCTCCATTCCAAGACGTTGTTATACAGGAGAGAACTTCTTTAGCTGAAGAGTTGCACAGGACCCCAAAATAGGGGATCACAGTGGGTGAAGCAGAAGGCAAATGGGAAGGGACCTATTTGTGGGTGGAAGGAAGGGGGAGGAGAATAGGGGAGGAAGTTTTAACTTTGCTCCTTTCCCCTTAGTAATTCCTATGCAGTGAAAACTGCTGTTTTTTACAGTCAATACTGAGCCAGATGGACTAATAATTGCACTTGGCATAGGACAGCTTTCTGTGATTTTTAGGAATATGGAGCATCCTGATCAAAGCCAAAAAAACCTGCAATTCTGTCTATGTAAATATTTGCAGGGCAGTTACCCAGGTTGAGTTTGGGAGATATCATTTCATATCCATGTACAGGCCCTAATTCAAAACGGTTGCCTCTTTTTGGCAGCAACCTGAGCCAAACTTGTAAACATTTCACCGCACTTTCCTGCTTGAATGCCACTCACCTTGAGATACTGCAAGCGAGCCTCCAATTCGGCCCTCCGGATTGATGCGCCATACAAGGTATCTAACCTGAACGGGGGACAAAGTGAGATGAGTGATGCCTCCATGGCTGGAAAACCACAGCAGCGGCACGTGGAGTGGGGTGGGGGAGGGGAGGGCTAGTTCTGTCTAAAAGCATCGATCTGGCTTTTTACCTGAGCACGTTTCCAGATGCTTTGATGATCTCCACAATCTCACGGTGCCGGATGCCTTCTACGTTAAGCCCATTCACCCCTGTGATTGTGTCTCCTACAAAGCAGAGAGGTGACAAAAAGGAGTCAGGGAGCGGGGGGGGGGGAGGACAAAGGATCTCTGCTGGGCTGCACACTTAAAGCCTGAACTTAAGATATCACTTCTGCAATTCTGCAAAAACATTCTTTATTTTGGTCTCTCAGGCTTGGAAGGATGGTGGGGGAGGTAGGGATGGATGAAGCCCCCCCCTTTTTTTGTTGGCCTTGTATGCCTGATCCCCACATCTTTAACACAAAGGCGTCTTTCAGTCCACAATGCCCATGTCAGAATTGACTGTGATCTCTCCGCTTTATGGCTAAAAGAGGTGAAGCCATTTTTCCTCTTCCCCTGGTTTTGCTTGCTTAAAGACATGATCATAAAAGCTTGCACACACTTGTACTGCATTTTTTTAGTCTTCATAAAAGTATGGGTTTGGATTTCTTTTTTCCACAGACCAACATAGCAATGACAATTTTGTTTTGGGTGCCATCTAAATTATGTAAACAGCATAATTGCACATTGATTTGGTTTTATTCTGAGCACTCTAATTATGTGTCAAGGGTTTAGTGAGGGCAGGACCATAGGAGAAGCGTGGGGAAATATTTAATCAAGAATACTCGTGACTTTTTAGATTTCTTCTTCTCTGTTTTATTGAACAAAATGACAGAAATTAAAATAAAAAGATATTGGAGTTGGGTGAAAGAACAGAAACATGGAGAATCTAAGTGTTTGCATTTAGGTGTTTTTATAGAATGTATGTATGTGAGAGAGAGAGTGTGCTTGTATGTACACATAATCTTAAAGAGTGTATACACACACACACACACATATATATACTCAAGATAATTCTTCTCTCCTGTCTCATAGATGACAAAGTGAGAAAGAGCCTGTGGCATAGAGGTTAATACATCTGCTTAACATGCAGACAGCCCAGGTTCGAATCTCAGAAGGGTATGTCTGGTTGAAAAGAACTAAAAAGTTCGAAATGGCTATTCCAGTTCTCCCTTAATTCTTTGTTAGCAATCCAAATTTTGAAAAACATGCAGGTACATGTACATATATATATATATGGTACATGTGGTATTAGGGAGAAATAGAAGCATTTTAAACCTTCCAATGCAATATTCCAATTCAGAAAAAAATCCTGTACAGATAATGGTAATTTATTACTACATAGAAAATGTTAACAGAATATTCTTTCAATTTTTTTCTGAGATTGTTCTGCTATTTTTAAGTACAGCTTGTGATTTTGAGGACTAGGGTTGTTTACATAAGAGAAAAAAGAGACTGTTTGGTAGCCAGAAAATTTTCTGCTATTGGGAAAAATGATCTAGGCTTGGAGAGATGTACTTTTAAAAAATGCCCTCTGTACAAAAAGCAGGAAAAGCAGACTTTAATGGGAAGATACCACACTGCATAGCCAAACCCTCTAATTCATTCACCCCCTCACCCTCACCTCTGTTTCAGCCTGCTGTCACTCTGACTCTTTAAAGCAGTTTTTTCAACCCTGTCAGATTTAAAATGTGTGGATTTCAACTGGCTGGAGAATTCTGGGAGTTGAAGTCCATACATCTTAAAGGTGACAAGTTTGAAAAAAAATGCTGCTTTAAATGAAGGTGCAATGCTTTGGCTCTCCAGAGCAGAGCAGCTGGGAGGAGAGAAGAAGGCACCCCCGTGAAAGCTGCGCCCCAGCCTTCTTCATGGCTCCTTGTGATGTGAAGCCAGAGATGGTTGAGGCCTCCTTACAAAGAGCCAATGAAACACAGGCAAGGAAGGAACAAGGAGAGGGAGCCTGCATTCCTGGACTGTCTCAGATAGACCCCACTCTTTGGCTATTGTACAGGACAATATTTCTTCCACGAGTCCTTTTGGCCAGGAGACAATGGGCCCACTGCCCATTTTAAGAGGAAAACATACAGTATTTTGATTGTTCAGAAAAATGCCTAGCATTCCAGTGAGCAGGAATGCCTTCTGAACTATTATATTTTAAATCTGGAAATCCCAGCTGGATGAATTGATGATGTTAGGAAAACGGAGAGACAGGTTTTCCTGCTGTTGTCTGTCTGGCTTTGTCTGGAGAGGGTTTCTTGATTTTTTTTCTCTGTTCTAGGCATATTAAACTGGTCTAGTACTATTTTTTTCCTTTTATTTTCCATGGGAAACTGGAAGGCAATTGTCACTCCCCATGTTGGTGATTTGTAGTCAGATCCGGAGGGGATAGTCCTGTGAGAATTGTGAAATCTGCAAGGATTCCACATGACCTCATCAGCTGTGGTCTCCTTTGATTCTAAATAATGAGAGGTGAGAAAATGCAGATAGTCCCTGCACAGTGACCGCAATTGGGAATGGCAACTCAGCCACTAAGTGAAATATCACGTGATTGCAACAGGCTTACAACCTCATTTCAACGGCAGTTGTTAAACAATTCACAGTTAAGTCATTAAGCGAAAAATCACGTGTCTGTGAATTATAATTCTACTGTTGGATTCTCCGTTGACTCTGCTTGTCGGAAGCTGGCTGTGAAGTACGCAGATGATGATCACGTGAACATGAGATGCTGTGACTGTCTTAAATGCTTGCTGGCTGCAAAGAGTTTGAATGTCGATCATGTGACTCTGGGGACGCTGCAACTGTTGTAACTGTGAAGACTGGTTGTAATGCTAGTCTTTCAGCACCACTGTCACTTTGAACAATGGCTAAATAGGGCAATCATTAAGCAAGTTCTACCTGTACGCTTCCCAATTTCTAGCCTTCACCTTGGGATCTCAGCACCTCTCCTTGGAGCCTCACAGAGAAGCTCACACTTTGAGGCTTGGGGAAACTAGCAAACTGAGTTGGAGGGTGTCCTGCAGCAAATGACATGTGGAGTTCAGATTGTGGCCTTGCAGGAGACTCTGTTCTGTGAAGTAACAAGAGGAGCCAGTGATATCATGGTGTCCTCCAATGGGAGCCAGTGATATCATGGTGTCCTCCAATGGCTTTCCACAACAGAGATCTACTCAACGTTCCCTACAATTGTAAAAAATTGGGAGGAAGCGTGGAGACAATAAAACAGAGGGCTGTACACAAGTGTGCACTGAAATTCGCAGTGCAAGAAGACAGAATGACATTCTCACTGACCACTAAAGACCAGGAAGGTCTAAAACCTGAATCGTCTCTGCTGATTTTACCAGTCAGCTGTTGAGCTCCAGTGAAGCAGTACAAAGCAGTAAATGATGTCTCTTACCAGGTTTAAGGCCTGCTGCTTGGGCTGGGCTGTTTTCGTGAACCCGGCAAACAAAAGTGAACATCTCCACACGTTTTGTGTCCTGATGGTGTAGCCCATAGGTCTGAAAATTGCCCAGATGGGAAAAAGAATTATTATTTATTATGGCATGAGAAGGGTGGATTAGGGGTTGATGCTATAATCCAGGGGTAGTCAACCTTGGCTCTTTTATGACTCGTGGACTTCAACTCCCAGAATTCCTGAGCCAGCACAGCTGGCTCAGGAATTCTGGGAGTTGAAGTCCACGAGTCATAAAAGAGCCAAGGTTGACTACCTCTGCTATAATCTATAATGAATGAGGTAAAACAGCATGAAGAGCTAAACAGCCATAGCAAGCTGTGAGATGAAATGAATTCTGTCCGATTTGGATCATTTCTCATTCTCTGAAATGTCGAAGATCAAACTCAGCTGAAAAGTGAGACAGGCCAGATTCAAGACATTGTCCTATTTTCCTCAGATCTGATATTCATTGCTTTGAAAATCTAAGTCCTCAATTTTTAATTTTTTTTTTAAATTTGTATTTCAATTTTTCCCCCCATTTGCAAATACCCTGAGGCATGTGATTTAAAGCCCTGTCCTCAATTCCTGCTGAGGGCAGCCTGCAAAACATAGCCGTACGTGAGGTAAGTTTAGGAATGAATAGAAGGCTTTCTCCCTACATTTACCTGAATCTCAAAACCATATGTCTGGCTCTCTTCTTTCTCCAGCGTGATCACTTTCCTGAAACAATGCGAGAGGAAAGAAATTCAGCTGAAATTCCTCAGGACCTTGCATGAGGCAGATCCCAAGCCATATTCCCAAAGTTGTGGTAAGGATCTCTCTCCACTTTCTGATTCCTCCATCTTCCCCACAATATGATGTAAGTTACAGGAACTTCCCTTAGTCATAGTTCAGCAACTTCGGTCTTATGCGTGTTCAAATACAGGGTTGGTGGGAAGCGAAAGCAGCATTCTTCCCCTTAGCCAGGCAGCTGGATCAAGCACCCCACCCAAGAATCATCTCTGCAGCTCACAGTCCCTCTTTCCCTTACAGCTCCTTCCATCGCCACTTTGGGCCAATGAAACAAACAGGAAGGGAGCAGCCTTTTGTGTATCATCCAGCCTTTATGAATCCAGACCAGAGCTAACAAAATAACAAAAGGAGATCCAAGTGCAAAAACATAGCCAAAGCAAACACAAATGTAATCAGGGATGGGGTTGCTGAAGCAAACATAGATTCAGTAGCAAACAACCACTACACATTATTCAAGAGTACGCTTTTTTAGATGCATCTCTTTCTTGCAGACCCGTTTACTGCAAAAAGGAGATACATAAGATAAATACCGAAGAATGGCAGATAATCTAACCTACAGGAACCATCTTTTAGGGTAAATTACATGGATGGCCACTCTTCTAACAACAGAGCTGCAATCTTTCACAATTAAACATGCATTTAAAAAATCCCTGTCAATTTCTCCTAAAAAAAAAATGGAATAACTTCAATACTAAAATGAACTCGTGTTTACTGAACATTCTGCAGATTCTCTTGAGAAATATTTGCATTGCCTTCCTATCCAAATAACCCAGATTATCAATCACTTTTTTTTTTTATCAAAGTCCATATATTACCACCAGATATTGCAAGTTGAGTATATGTTTTGTCCTTTTAAATGGAACTGGTCATTCCGTGAACATTGTCCATTTATGATATGAATCCATCTGGTATAAGGATAGTAAGTGGTCAAAATTTCTTCTCGTTTGATTAAAAAAAAATATGCCACTCTATTTAATGAAAATTTGGAAACTGCAAGAAGGAGACAAAGATTCCTCCTTTCATTTATATGAAAAAGTTGCACCTCTTTATAAAACAGAGTAGAATATCTGGCCACAAATAATGTATGGGTGCATGGACACACCCAACTGGCCACCCCTGGGTTCTGCTTATTATTTCTGGAAAAGAAACATGGTTGAATTGGAGGGTTTTTATAAGCGACTCCCAAAAGTTTATTTAATTTCTATAAGCTGTCAATTGGAATTTAAGAAATGTCCCCAATATAATTCAGAAGCATATTTTAGGAGAAGCTTTTACACAGAAACATTTCCTAATAGCTGGATCACTCCTGCCTTTTGTTCTTCTTGTCTATCACATATGACGGTAGCTCTAACAAGGGGGAAGGTCATTATTTCTTCAACCTTGCACCTTCAAGATGTACTGACCCCCACAAACCCCATCACCCAGCATGCTGCGAGGTAGCAGGTTAGAAGAACCTGAAGGATGCTATATTGGCAAAAACTTGTCATGGGAATGTAATAAGATATTCGTCCCCATTTAGCAATGAAATCACAAGCCTGTGGAAAGGTATTCCTTTATACCAGGGATAGTCAACCTTGGCTCTTTTATGACTCGTGGACTTCAACTCCCAGAATTCCTGAGCCAGCCACACTGAGGGGAAAGCGAGAGGTTTCCAAGCTGAGCCATGCTGGCTCAGGAATTCTGGGAGTTGAAGTCCACAAGTCATAAAAGAGCCAAGGTTGCCTACCCCTGCTTTATACTTTTCATGTGCACTGTTAAAATCCAACTTTCCTGTTCCCTAAGAAAGCTTCAGGAGAATTTCACCTCCAATCATTTGGAGAACTGCAGCCATGGGGTTGGTAGATGAGGCAAAAACAAAGGCCCTTTCTCCAGTGTGCACTTTCTTGGCTCTCTCTCTCTTTCTTTCTGCACAACAAAGCTTCTTCCTAAAGAGCTGAAGTGGCAATTTGCTCTTATAACTTTCATCAATGCAGCTTTAAGGGCACATTCCCAAAGCTTGAAGGTGATTCGGTACCAAATGTAATTTATGGATATTTTGTCTAAAGTCTCTTATTGTGAAGCAACACTCAACTAGGCCACATCCTAGTCTTCTTGCTTTGGATCCCGTGAAGGGAAGATTAACTCCTATCAGGGATGGCAATCTGATACCCATCAGATATGCTAAGACCACAATTCCCATAAGCCCTGCTCAACCAGAGAGGTTAAAGGTGGGAATTGGTCCTCCAACCTGTATACTCCTATTACCATGTGATCCCAGAAGAGGATTTTGGTTTGAGGAGTTGCAGAAAGGTATACGGTATGCTTGCCCTGTGTGCTCTGAAGCACTTTTTTTTGCTTTTGAATCAAAGCACTGTATTATACGTCCCACTTCTCCTGGACACCAGCCTGAGGAAAGTTGCATCAGAGAGATAAAGGAGGAATTGCAATCCCCGTCAATTGAAAACTTTACTTATTAAAGAGACAAATTGAAGAGTGAATCTACCCTATTCCATGAGAGGTTAACCATCATTCTGAAGCTTTATCTGGTGAAATTCTGTCCCCAGCAGGAGATATAGGACTGGAGTTAACACAGCCAACGGGTCCTTGGTCTAAAGGCTCTATCCCAGAAGACAAAATACCTTGACAGTGCTTGCAAATTACCTCCAGGTGCATAATTTCTGTTATTCCCCATCATTACCACCACCAAACCACTGTAGAGCCATCTCACTGACTCTCAGCCACAGGGGGGAAACAAGACGGTGTCCTAAGCGAGCACAAGCAAGAAACAGACAGCTTTTGATTAGACTGCACAGAAGGCAAGGCTTTCTCTGTAGGCTGACATGGGGGAAAAAGCAAGCCTGTCTTCAGCAGAGCAGGACAAAAATTCACCACTGAAACTCTCCCAGCAGGAAAGGAACAACTTAGCACCTACCTGTGCTGCTCAGGCGACTGGCTCAGAGAGTGCCACTTGAATGCAGAGCCCTGAGGGAGAGGTGCAAAAAAGAGAATTAGTCAAGAGTATGGTAGGAGGCAGGCCTCAAGCCTCACTCAGATGTAGCGCTGATGGCACTGAGCCAAGGACTGGCCCGAGGGAGCCACAGAACAACCCCAGAGTCAGAGGCCTTAAAGGCTGCATAGGAAGCACATTTTCCTGCCATCTGATGACTCCACTTTCCGTCCTTAAGCGGCATCAAGATCTGAGGGAATCTTGGCCTACCTTGTTTACTGAGCTGTGGTAAGAATTACTTGGATCATTTTCATTATGTGCTTTCAACGATGCTAAAAGCTCAGCTTTGTTAGCTTGCTCTGGGATGCCTGTCACTGCCAACCTGGCAATGGAAACAGGTTGCCAACATGAAACGAGGACTCTGCCTGAGCCAGCCAAATCCAAAGCAGACGCTGTTTTGGGAAGCCAGTTGCAAGACAAGAGGCCATTCATGCAGCTGGTTAACAACACACAAGGGAGGGGAATTCGAATGGGGAGCCTGCTGGAGGCAAGCTGAGGAGGCATTCCCTGTTCTTCATCCTGTAACCCCCCCCTTCCTATAATCCTGATCTGGATTATGCTTCCTGCATCTCTGGCTTATGTTAGAAACAAATGTTCCTTTGCTCCAGGGGATGTCTGTCCTCTGATGCCATCATCAACCCAATTTGGTTTGCTACCCGTACACTAGCTATTCACTTTTACCAAAGCCACTTGCACAATGCATGAATGGGAACTGCTCTAGGTTGAAAGCACATTAGGTCCTCATTCATGGACATTCAGAATGAGGTTTCTGTTTCATTCCTTGAAGCAACCCCCCCCCCAACCTGTCAATGAAGCCAGCCAAGATTTATATCATCTGACTAAAAGATTGATCAAAACAAATTGCACATCACTATTCTAGGCTGCTGAATCTCCTAGGGGCATCTTGGTGCTTTATATCCAATTTTCACATAAGCCTGAAGATTTCTTGGAATTGCCTCTCAAGCTTGGCGAACTTTCCACACAGCCAAAACCACAAATGCCAACTAAGAGGGTCTTACACCCACCACCAGGGTGGATGAAAAGCATTCAGAAAGTCACATCTGAACACTGTAGTCTTTCAAAGCCACATGGCTTGGTGCCACGAAAAAGGAAAAAAAAACCTTTGGAAGAGAAAGCCCACTTTATTCCGAAGCCCTAATTTTAAAATAAAATTAATTGCCAGGCCCATTCTGAACAAACACTTTCATTGTGGTTGCTTCAACAGAGCACATGATGGGAACTGAAATTTGGAGAAACAATTCGGAAATTTTATTAATATAAATGGA